ATAGTATATATATATATATATATATATATATGTGTGTGTGTGTGTGTGTGTGTGCGTGCGTGTGTGTGTGTGTGTGTGTGTGTGTATATGTATGTGTGTGTCACATAAATATACTAAAATATTAATATTATTTAAAAAGGATACGACCAAAATGCTCCATTACTTCAGAAGGCAAGGGAATTTTGTTATATATCTTCATTTGATTAATATTTGTTAAATTCATTGATACACCATTTAAACTCGGATAGTCATGATCATCAAGGCCACTAACAGTCGGTCCACCTAGAAAATATAGTTATTTAAACTAACTTTTAACACAGTTACTCTTAAATTAACATTAATATTTTTTTGTAGGTATATCTAATATATTTACCTTGCACATTGTATCGCATCAGATTAATTAGAGATGGAAAATTACTGTCTGCTATAATATGTTTGTCTACCATTTTTCCAGCCATCTCTAAAGAATCTAAGTGCACCTTCAATGGTTCCATTTCTGCAGTTCTTGTATTTCTCATTTACTGAATAAAAAATTAAATATATAAATAATTACAAATTAATTTTAAATAATGTTACATAAATCTTAAAAATTTGAGAAAAAACATTGTTTTAACTTTAGAACTTATTTAGTACCAAAGGAGTCAAGAAATATTACATGTTTGTTATATTTAATGTTTGGGAAACAAAATTAAAAGTGACGAAGTAATCTATAGTTTGACAAGTGATAAGATTATTTTGTATGGTTGTCTTTACAGAAATTTTAAAGATATAGAGATAAATTACAGGTTAAATTAGGTTAGGTTAATAAACAACGTGTATCTTAACGAAATATTAAAATCATGAACATAAATGTTTGAAAGTGCAGAGAACATAAGACAAATTAATATAATCATACATACTCAATTATACTTACATAGCTATAATTATTTGCATGCGAATATAAACACATCAAACGTAATTCCAATCGCGCGTTTCGCGCCAAGCCGGCACTTCAAATTATAGGTTATAATCTAGAAATGTAACGGTTATACAATAAATGCTTCTATCAATATTTACTAACATATGTATGCAAATAGAAGCGCTCAACAATGTACGAATTGCATTGTAAAATAATTAATGAATACATTTTAATATTGCGTACATTTCTTATAAAAAGAAAGGCCTTTTGTAGGCTATATCGGATATTATACGCATAACGCACAGTGTGAATCTCGCATAAGGGTACAGGCTTTACTTGAGGTTTGTTCTTTATAGCTGAACTGGCTGCACTAGTTCAGAGTTTATCTTTCTTCTTCTAATGTGGAGGGAAAAAGATGAACTCTGAACTAGTGCAGCCAGTTCAGCTATAAAGAACAGACCTTTGATTGTAACCATTTTCACCGATGTAACCTTAAATGTGTAGGAAAGAAACACGTGTGCCTGCGGTGCTTGCAAAAATGAATATTGTCAAGTCAATTTTAGAAAACGAACAAGGAAAAGAGGATCCAAGTAAATCTACAACAGTGCACAAAGATGTGGAGCTCGATATCGATCTAGGAACTCTACTTGCGTCCGATTATAATACTTTGGATGTGAAAACTCTCAAGTAATCTAAATTTTTACTACTCTGCATTAAGTTCATCTGAAAAAGCTGTAATATTTGTTAACGTATTTATTCTTATAAGGTCGAAACCAGATTCATACTTGAAAAGTTTGACCAGAGATAATGCGCAACTATTAATCAATGATATATGGGGATTGCCAGTAGAACGGGTAGATGAGGCTATAGTGGCTATACTGCCAGAGCCTAAATATATATTACCACGTTCACGTGTTATTCCAAAACCGAAATCTTTAACAAAGTGGCAACAGTTTGCTAAAGAAAAGGGAATACAGACCAAGAAAAAGGGCAGATCCAAACTACAATGGGATGAGGAATTAAAGGTAAGATTTGTTTTTACATATTAACTATTTTGTATTATATTTAATAACAATATTATGTAACATTATAATAAAATATAGTCTTTAACATTTTAATTTTTTCTAAAATTGTTTAGAAATGGATTCCTAGATATGGCTATAAACGAGCAAAGGCTCAAGAGCAAAAAGAATGGCTGGTAGAAGTCAACAATGCTGCTAATCCAGTTGAAGATCCATTCACCAAAATTAAACAGATGAAAGAGGAAAGGCAGTCCAAGAATGAATTGCAGAGGCTTCGAAACATAGCTAGATCTAAAAATATAAAATTACCAAGAGTCGGTCTGCCTACTAAAGACCACTTCCCGAATTCTCAACAACTTTCTGAAGCTCTAACTGTAGCGCGTACATCAACTGCATCTGTTGGAAAATTCCAATCAAGGTATGCTTTTTACATCTTCTAATTTGTTTTTTCTAATGTTTTCGTCAAATAAATTGTGGAATGTAACATTTGCAATACAGATTGCCAAAAGAAAAGGATGCGAAGGGAATTGCCAAAGAGGTACCAGGAATGAAGAGAAAGAGAAAAGCACCTCCATTAAATGCAATTGAAGAGAAACGTCAAAACAAAAATCTAATGGATAATATTTTGAAAAGCAGCACAAAAATTCTTCGTGATGATTACTCAACAGGAACCACAGAGTAAGTTTTTATTCGTACAGACTTAATTTCAATGTAATAATATTAATATTTATTTATATTACAGAATAAAGCAATCTAAAAAAGATAGTAAAAAGAAGAAGACAGGTGCATTAAAACGCAGTAAAACTGCTAGAAAACCGAAGGGAGGAAAGGGTAAACGTGATTTACACCAGAAAGTTGGCGGTAGGAAGCGAAGATAAATTAAAATGTTTGTAATAACATAAATTGTGTATATCATTGATAAAAAATTTTAATAAAAATCAATAAAATTATGTTAGTAAAAGGATTTATTGCACAATAATAGTAAGATGAGGAAACACACACACATTAAAAACTTTTATATATAAAATTTCGTTCTATTTATGGTTAAACAATGCTTTATCGAGTTCAGAGATTTTTTCATCAGAAAAGTATCTCATCCGTCTTAAAAACGTCTTAAATAAGACATCTTTTTGACATATAAAAAAACTCTAGCAATAGGATGTAAATCAATATACAATTCTTACATATGTCGGTGCGTAAAAAGGACAAACGCAATTAAAAGTTTACTCTAGCAAGCACAAGAAATTAATTTATTAACTACTTTTAAATTATTATTAAACTTTCGATTGGTCTTTTTTGACAATAAATTGTTTGCATAATAAATTTAGAACACAGATTAAAAACAGAAATAGTATATAAAAACAGAATTAGAAATAGTATGTCTGTTCTTTTCTAGTGTCCGAAGCTAGCCGAAGCGCGGAGCTCACATGTACGTGGCTTGCGCATGTGTGCGGATATCCCTCCATTCCTGCTGCTGCTGTTTGCGTCTCAAATCTGGCCACACTGCGCTGAATACGTATGATCAGTGTTGATATGTGTGTGACGTTGCCGTCAGTGCATTTACTGGCATTTACGGAATCTATCGTTGTTTGATCGAATGTAATGATATTTAAACGGCGTGATTAAACGCCTAGAAGAAGAATGTTTGATTGGTATTAAATCGATAGTAGACTTGTCAAGGAGGCAGTACTCGAACTGATCAGTGAGGAAGTGAAAACAAAGTTGTAGGTTACAACCATGGCACAATCAACAACAAGCGGAACTTCCTCGCGACGATATATGAGGGAGCACGAGGTGCTGTCTTCATCACGTTATGTGGACAATGAATGGGAGTCCAAGGAGGTAACATTCTTCAAACCAAATTGTGCCTATCTTGTAGTTATACGATGGTATATCTAGATTCTATAGTTTAATACTATATCAATTTATATTTATAACATTGTATTGCATTTCTTTTTTTTTACATATATTTTTTTCTTATATTTTATAACTATATTATAGATATATTAATATTATGTATTTCATTCATGTCATATCAACTTATTCAACAAGTGACAGCGACATTACACAAATATTTCAGTTCTCAATATATTGTTTTCAAAAGAATGTTAAATGATTATTTGGTTAACAGATAAAATGTTAAATTAACTACTGTCTTGTATTTATTATATATTTTACTTTAAAATCTTACTATAAAATTATTTAGTATGTTTTTCATGACAAGCCAAAGTAATCCATGTTTGCATTTGTATTCAAATCTTTTTATGATTAATTTCAATCTTCCAATCTTAATTATATAATTCAAAGGATTAGTTTTTATTAACTAGTTTGTAGTAATTATAGCATTTCCTAAAATATTCATTAGTGCTTACAGTACTTTATTCATCAATTAATTTGTCATGTTTTATTATCAAACAGGCTTTACGACAAAGGGAACTAGAGGAGGCAAGAGCGCGAGCGGCACAAATGGAAAAAACAATGCGATGGTGGTCAGATTGTACTGCTAATTGGCGTGAAAAGTGGAGCAAAGTTCGCAATGAAAGAAATGCTGCTAGAGACGAGGCAAAAGCTCTCAGAGCAAAATTAGAAATTGCAGTTAAAGACGCGAATACTTTTAAACATGAATCTCAAGATTTGGAACTGCAAAATGAACAGCTGAAGAAAGAGATGGAAAAGATACATATGATACTCTTAAAGCACGCTGGCCAGTTTGATCAGCAAATCTTCACTATGCTAGAATCAGATCCGCAAGTAAGAGCTACTTTTGGATTGGATGAGCAGTTAGAATTTTATAATAACGTTGAACCGAGTGATACGTTAAATTCACAAAGGGACATGCTGTCTTGTAAAAATTCGCACAACGCATCGGATGTTGCTTCTGGAGGTCACAGTATCTTGCCAGAAAGGGATATTGAAGAGTATGTCTTGCAAGGTGCTGTGCCCAAACATGCAGTAGAATTATACAAAGAAAGCCCTAGTAATTCACTTGATAAAAACATCGCGAAACTAGTCACGGATAATACTGCCAGGAAAGATGTGTTGGAGAAGCAACAACTGTCATTAGATATGTACAAGGACGATTGTTTGAATCAGAAGATGTCAGCGTTACAACTTCAACTGGACGAGGCAACAAAAGCTATTTCTGCGGAAAGAGAGTAAGTCTGCACAAATCAATGCATAAAAATAACTCATATGATATAAAAATTTATTTTATTTTAATTTTGCAAGGGAAAAAAGTTCTTTGCATCGTACTGTTGAAAAATTGAAAGCTGAAATTAAGCAATTGAGGGAACAATGCGAGGAATTGTCTGGAAGCAGAGCTGACGCAATGAGGGAATTATCGGAGTTAAAGGAACGATTTCAACTTGAGCTCAGTGAAGAGCATATAGCGGATTTGATAGATAATACAAGTAACGGAGAAGGCATGGATCGTCGTCTAAGTGAGTTAAGAACCGAAGTAAGTGATTCATTCACATTATATATGCTTTTACGTATATTTGCAATTAAATTATTCTAAACAAGGAAGCTACTTGAAAATTATTAAGAAAAAAATTCCATATATGATTCTATTAATTCTATCAATATATATTCTGCCTTTCTATATTATGTAATATTAATCATAGATATTGTTTCATTTTGATAATAATTTTTTAGCTGGAGAAACTTCAAGCTGAAAATGCAGCCGAATGGGGTAAAAGAGAAAGACTAGAGAGTGAGAAAATTTCCTTGGAACGGGAAAACAAATTGCTTCGTCTAAAAATAAACGAGTTGCAAGAGAGAATAGAATCGCGGCGATCACGACCAGTATCTACAGTTGACGCAGACACGAAGCAGCTGCAGCAAGAGATTCTAATTCGCAACATGGTCCGTATTATAATATTTTTAGACTAAAAATGCTTCTCAAAGTCATTATATTTTTATATTATATTTTTCATTATATTTTTATATTATAATTTTATCATTTTTATTCGTAGGTGTTACTTGAAGTAAAGCAGTATCAAGCGGCACTGAAGCAATCTTTGGCAGAAAAAACAACGGAATTATCACACGCTATAAGACGATCCGAGCAATACGAGGCAGAGGTAAAGCGAGTGAGAGCAAGAGTCGATGAGTTGAAGAAAGAGCTGGCCGCCGCTCAGGACGAAGTTGACGCTGCTACGAACAGCGTACGAAAGTTGCAACGGGCTAATAAAGACCTCATGGAGCAATTGGAATCCGCAAATGTACAATTGGAACATTTTAAAAATAGGTGAGCATAATAATAAATCAAAATGTAGTCTACATCCCAATTTTCAACAAAAAATCTGAAAAATATATATTTTATCAGCAACAACGAATCGTGCGTAGCGGATGGTGAAATAGATGGAGCAGGGGAAGAAAAGTTTCAACCTAACAATTCTGATGAATACGCTGAAGGTATATTAATATTTAATCATTGCAGCTTTTGAATGATAAAACAATAATTATCAAAATTTACAAAATATTTTGTATAAATTTACAAAATATTAATTAAAATTAGACAATATATTTAAATGTGTGGTTTATTGTTTTAGTATACGGTCAGCAACAAGCCTAGTATTCGTGTCGGTGACGATGGCATATTTGTGTCAGATAACGAAGATGCAGATTGGATAGATGATTGCTTAGTTGGCCTAAAATACAGAATTTAACAACGGTTTTTTTTTTTTTTAAATGGTTGACTCTCCATTTGGCGCAACACTTCCGCGAATTGTACGTGTTGAGTGACTGTTGTAAGCTACGTGCCTATTGCAGTGTCAACGACAAAGGTAAAACATCACTTCCAGTAGTACATATATGTAAATGTGTATAGATAATAGCATATTGATGTAATATGCAATTTTTTAATTACTTATCGACCGACAAGATTGATAAGTGCGTTGCAGTATCTACTGTTTTAACAGTTATTTACTCAACAATGAGATTGTGTTCAACCAAGAGATCTTTATCATTATTTTCTGTAAATAATCATTTCACTCTCATTGGTTTTTTTTTACTTTTGTAAATTGTGAGCATACATCTTTTCTCTTTTTCTTGTCGCATTTTGTAAACGGTTTACATTCCGCGTTACTATTTTTTATGTTTTATTTTGTAGACTGGTGTAAAGATATTGTATATACTTACGAAATATATATATATATATCATAAAATTATGTTTTGTCACCTCGAAAAAGACTGGTGAAATTGAGTAGTAAGACACAATATGTACAAGATACGATACCTGATATTTATAATTGAATCTTTTATGTCAATATAAAAAATCTATATAACGTAAGTTAATATATATATAAAATAATACTCTACATATGCATCTGTGAATATATGTCGCAGATATGAACTGCTAGATAGAGATCTACTGAACTGTAGATAGAGGTAACATTTGAACGCAACCTTCATGTACTACAATTATCTACATCAAACTGAGAAGATTATTGTTAATTATACTAAATTATATTATATTTCTTAACTAGCGAAGAGGACAAAGAAAATTTTTCTCCTAATTAAAATGTATTTTATTGATAAAACACTTAATAAATAGCAGCAATTGATGTAGCAACATGTTTACTATACAGTCAACAATTTGGCATACCTCAATCAAAAAATTATAATGTTAAGTATATATTTAAGTATATATATAAGACATTTAAAACTTTCAATCCTATGAATTTTTCGAAAGTTTTGGTGTCTTTACTGATCCATAAGATCGAGAGTTTTCTATTATTTTCTAGTATTTATTTTATTTTCACGCTTATTTTACTTACAGGAAGCTGCTCAAGAAATGGAATGTATTATTTGAATTTATGATAGAATAAGTATAGTGAGTTATGAGGCGTGCAAAAGCATTAGTCAAGTATGATCTAATCTATCACTTAAGCAGGTCACATAAATTTCACCAGATTACACAACAGGCGAGAAAAACGATTCAACGCGAGATGTTTTACGGAAGCGATTATGCAAAATAATTATCGGCGCGTTTCATCAGATATATCTTGGTCATTCAACATTTCATAGGCGTGCCGTCGGGATACGTTGGCACTTTTGGCTTACAGATCTTCGTCCTGCCGTTGGAACCGTACACGACGTTGCAGGAGAACGTGAAGTATCCGCAAGTGGAGCTCTTGGTGTAATATCGATGCTCGTACTTACGCGGCTCATTGTTGCCGTTCATCTTGCCGGCAAAACTGTTGGTCACGGTATAGTAACTTGGTTTTATAGCTACCGCCGGAGTAGGTCTCGTGTGCTTAACGGGAGATACGTTTTGATTAACAGAAGATCCTTGATTCGCAGAAGGTTCTTGATTCTTACTGCTCGATGCGTGCCGGCCGACGTAACGCTCATGATTGGTCTGAAGCGATCTGGTCTCCGTGCCGGGCGATTTGGTGCTATTCAAATCCTTCGGCACCAAGGACACAGTCTGCGATTGAGATCCGCCGTCGCCCTGGGCAATGGTCTCGGTACCGGCAGTCGACGTTACTCTTCCACGAAATCCAGGCGGGATGGTGTATCCCGATACGGATTGTCCCGGCTGCAGGATGTCGCCTGTTCGCGGCGCACTCGAGTCTTGACTGACGTGGACGTCATACTGGTTCCCCTTGGCGATCTGTATCGTTTGTGATTGACTGCGGCTCTGCTGCTGGACAGTTTTACTAGGTTTTTGATGATCCGAGCCCGGGGCTGGAAAATTACTCGAGAACTTTTCTTGAATCGTCAATCTCGGATTCGCCGTGGAATAATCATCCTCGTCCGTGTACTCGTCGTCGTAATCCTCGTACGTTGCATCGTCTGCTCGCGGCTTCTCCGTAGCCAATACTTTCTTGCCGGAAGTGTCGTCTAGATTATCCTTGGAACTCACGATGACAGTCTGTCTCGAAGTCGAACTGCTTTGAAAACCTTGGTCGCGATTGCCTTGCCTGTTTTCATAGTTTGGACTTGCCGACGGATTTGACTGTCCACCACTGTCAATGTGCACCGGTTTTCTTACAGCTGGATCCGGTTTGAACGGCTTGAAGAGCTCGGTGTCGGCGATGCTGAAATTGAAGGGTTTCCGCGAGGACGCAGCGCCGGATCCGGATCCAGCTTGCGCCGCACCGCTGTACGTAATTCCGTATTGAAAGGAACCTTGCAGCTGCGACTGGGACTGGCCGCGATGTGTACCGCTCTGAGCTGTCGCCGTACCGCTGCCGCGGAACGGCGTTGCCTGTTTCTCCAGCCTTTCGTCTTCGTCTTTCAAGTACGGCTGAAAACCAATCTGCGCTTGGCTGGAAGTACTGCCTTCGCCATTGGCTTGAGCATCCGCCATTCCGCCCTTGGAACTCGCCTGCACTTGAGAATTGGTACCGTGATTCCAACCGCTGCTCTGGGCGTCTGTCGAAGTGGCCCCGGAATCGGAATTCAGCTGTACCTGCGCTTGACTCTTCCCGTGACCGGCGACGCCTTGCGCGTTGCTAGCAGCTCCGTCCTTGTCCCCACTGATCTCGGTCTGAACGCTTTTATTCACGTCACTGGTACCGGCCTGGGCCGAAAAGCTGCCGGAGCCGCTGTACGTGCCCGTCACTTGTGACTGAGCCGTGCCCGAGCCGTATTTACCTTGCGCCGAGGCGCTCGCTTGAGTACCCGAATCCACCTGCTGCACGGAACTCGACGCCTGCGACTCGGCGCCGTCATCTTGCACACCCGCCGGTCCACCTGGTCTTCCAGGTTGCGCATAGTATTGCGAATCTCCGGTACCGACAGTTCCAACTTCTCCTGGATAAGGTCTCACTGGATATTGACCAGTACCTACACCAGGGCCACTAATTCCGCCTGGATACTGTCCAGGATATTGCCCAGTAATTCCTCCAATTGTTTGACCTGGTGTACCTATTGGATACTGAACGCCACCTGTTCTGCCAGGCACTCTGGTATCTGCGCCTGGATATTGCTCTCCTGGATATTGCCCGCCTGGATATTGTCCGCCCGGATATTGTCCGTCCGGATATTGTCCGCCTGGATATTGCCCGCCTGGATATTGCCCGCCTGGGTATTGTCCGCCTGGGTATTGTCCGCCTGGATATTGCCCGCCTGGATATTGTCCGCCTGGATATGTCGGTACTTGACCTCCACCGGGATAGATTCCTTGACCAGGATAGACACCGGGAGAAGTGATTTGTTGTGTGCCGCCAGGATATGTGACACCTCCTGGATGTGTAACTTTGACACCAGGCTGTACACCGCCTGTTCCGTCAGGAATTCTACCTGGTTGCGTGATACCACCAGCGCCTGGATAGACCACTTGGCCATCCGTTGGCTGACCGCTTGGATAGGTTATTACTTGTGTACCAGCGCCAGCGACGGTACTTGTAGTTGCGACTACACCAGGACCTCCACCTCCACCCCCTGGCACAGTACCTGGCGCAACACCTCCCGGATAATGCACCCCAGGTGGTTGTCTACCACCAGGATAAACTCCTTGATCTGTTGTTCCACCTGGGACAACGCCAATCTGCTGTCCAGTACCAGGATAAACTCCCGGAGTTATTGTACCTCCTGGAACAACGCCGCCAGGATACGTTCCTGGCACGGTACCAGGTTGGACGCCACCAGGATAGACTCCAGTTCCCGGATAAATACCAGGAGTTACTGGATATGTTCCACCGGGAAAGACTGTTCCGGGTACGGTACCACCCGGGTAAATTTTAGCAGTAGCGTCTGTTGTCACTGAAGTAGTCACAACGCCTCCAGGAGGATAGGCACCCGGTTGGACTCCAGGTTGAACACCTCCTGGATATAGTCTATGCTCTCCAGGATACGTTCCATCACCTCCCGGTCTCACAACCCCGGGCTGAACGCCTCCAGGATACGTTCTATCACCTCCCGGTCTTACAACTCCGGGCCGAACGCCTCCAGGATACGTTCCATCGGCTCCTGGTGTTACGGTTCCAGGCCGAATTCCTCCAGGATACGTTCCGTCGACTCCCGGTGTTACGGTTCCAGGTCGAACACCTCCAGGATACGTTCCGTCGACTCCTGGTGTTACGGTTCCAGGTCGAACACCTCCAGGATACGTTCCGTCGACTCCTGGTGTTACGGTTCCAGGCCGAATTCCTCCAGGATACGTTCCGTCAACTCCTGGTATCACGGTGCCAGGCCGAACACCTCCAGGATACGTTCCGTCGACTCCTGGTGTTACGGTTCCAGGTCGAACACCTCCAGGATACGTTCCGTCGACTCCTGGTGTCACGGTTCCAGGCCGAACTCCTCCAGGATACGTTCCGTCAACTCCTGGAATTATAGTACCAGGTCGAACACCTCCGGGATACGTTCCATCTCCTCCTGGTGTTACAATTCCAGGTTGATCAGTTTTAGGATAAATTCTTGGTCTACTTCCAGGAAGAATTCCGGAAATGGCATCAATTCCTCCGGGAACTACTCCACCTGGATATATTGTTTGTCCAGGAATAACACCACCAGGATAAGGTACTCCAGGTATTCCTGTTTCAGAATATAAAATATCAGATATAATGCCCACACTTGAACTTTGCATACATCTATCAGTACCTGTAGGTGTGATTTGTATCTTATCTCCTTCGACGCCGGGATATCCAGGATATCCAGGACAATCTTCGCAACCGGTACCACCTGACGACATACTTTGCGCTTGACCTATACCACGACTACCGCCTGAAAATTAAGGCACTGAGATAAGCATGAAATGTTTATAGAATTAAATTATAAAGAAAATAATTGCATTCTTTTTGTGTGACAAATTTTTTATTTATATTTTCAATTATTATACAATTTTAAATTTGAAATTTATATTAATTTATATATTTTTTATTTTCCAGATTATAGCGTCAATCATTTTTTTCCCATAAAATATGATTATTGAATTATTGCAGTTACATAAAACGATTAGATATTAAATAACTTACTAACTACGGCGCGCGAAGATTGCTGAGTGGCTTCAGCTTCCGCTTTGCCTTCTTTCTGTTCATCGTTACCGAGATTTAAATATTGAGATTGCGTTTGTCCGCGAAATTTTCCTCGAAACTGATGCGTCTGTCGACGTTCTCGAATTCGATTGAAATTTTTGTTCATTTTCTCCCGTCGCTCGAGTTGGATCTGCCTCTTCCTCCGAGCTTTCAATGGCGTTAAAACCACGTCAGCTACTCGTCTAGACGAAATATCGTTCTCATCTACAGGGATTTCGTTTAGAAATGGATCGAGAGTTTGCCCAGGCACGGGTCTATTTATCTGTAGCAAGATGATACTGCGTCCGTTGCAAAAATCAATGATTCGGCCTCCAGCAAGTCTCCACGCCTACACATTCAGAAATATTTAACAAAAACATAGTTATATTCTTTTGTTAATATAAAATGATAACTATTTATTATGTTTCAGATTTTTTTGGAAATATAAAAAATGTTTGATTTACAACACATTACGGTTTATCACAATTTCAACATAATATCATGTAATTTGTTGTTACCTCTAGTTTTGTGAGAAGTGTCGACGCATAGAGAACCTTAGATTGCCGTTTCTTACGTGATACATTTTGACTTTGTTTTATATTTTCTAGATAGCAGTCGTTTTCTTTCCTGCTCTTGTATGCAACGAATTGCTGTTTTAAGAAAATCAGTTTTAATCTGTATTTAAATACTGAGACAATATAATTACTTACCGTTACTTCGTCAGTGAAAGACCATTGTTTTTCTATGTTATTGTTTTCTGTATTCCTCACTTCGTGTTCGTTATGAATAGATCGATCAAAACGCGTCTTTTCCTATGCATATTAATTTTTAATTTATTAATTTTATATCTTTCCGTCATTTTTAAAATAACTGCAAACATATGATCTTAAGATTATAATGGTTTTAATATTAAATCGCACTTATAATTGCTATTTTTTCTTATAAAAAATTAAACATTTTGTTTCTTAGAATTTCAGTTGTTATTTAACTGTCGTCAGAAATTATACCACACAGAAGCCACAGTGATGAGATTTTAACATTGACAAAAAGGGGTGAAAGAAGCATTACGTCGTGAGTAGGCTAATAAGCCTATTCCTATCATCTGTCCTTATCTTGAACTTTGACCTCTAAATCTAAATGATCTTCGCTTAGTCGTATGCATCATGTGTGACCTGTGCCAATAACCTGCTAAAGCTAAACATGATAATTGGAACGACAGATTTAATATTAATACTTAAAAACTTAAAAAAACTTACTTAATAAATATTTAAAAAATGGAACCTGTTATATTTCATAGATTTTTCATAGATAAAACAAATAATTTCTAAAATTAAGTATCAGTTTTGTACTTTGCATAAAAGTACTTTTTTGTGTATATTTTTTTCCTCAACTACAATTACAAATATTTTAAAATCAGATTATAATTTAATTTGCCTCGATATTATGTAATAAATGAAATGCTGAGTTACTTGAAACATCTAGAAGATCGCATTTCTACGTTTATCGTTGCGAGTAGATGATATATGGCAGCAATTTGCTGAATTTGACTGTTACGTGTTAAATACAGTCACGAAATGTTCTAAATCGCAATTTGAAGTAAGCATTTTGAGCGATAAGCGTTTATCTTAAATTATTTTAAATGAGGAATAAATAACAGATATAGAGAAATATAACTTTCTATAAATCTGCGATAATTCAACTAATAAATAAGCAGAGATTTACACACTTTTTCCAAAAATGTTTACTAATCACCATATTAAAATCTTGCATTAAAATAATTTATTAAAATTTAAATAAATAAGAAATTAATAAAAATAATTAAATTCACAAAATTCTTATACAAGTTAAAGTAAAAAATATCGCTATTCGTTATTTAATATTGATATTTCTCACTTTACATACATTTTTAATAAATTTTATTCACTGTAAGATACTATTCTTAAAATATACAAAGTTTTAAACATATTGATTCAAAATTAAATAATTTTTAATCAATTTTATTCACCGTAAGATCTTATTCTGAAGATATACAAAGTTTTTTAGGCATGCAGGTTCCAAATTAAATCCGAAAAATTTTTGAAACACATTACAGACATCTCAGCTATTATATAATTAAGAAAACTGTGACAAAATAATATTTCTTCGGCTGGGAAACAGAAATTATATTGAAGAAGACTTACGTAGTACCTCGCGAGCACCGTACTCGCGAGAAAGATCAGGATGATGAAGTACGGCCGCATGGCACGAACTTTCTGCAAGATCTTCACGACTGACACAAAGTGATATCTCGACGATGATCCAACCCTGTTAGATCATGCCACTGACTCCCACTGATTCTACTCGCTTATTCCTCCATGTCTCTTCTTCGGGTGTCATCATAGTTGGTCTCACGAAGCGCTGCTGCGAACCATAAGGCCATCTATGTGGCCACGAGGCGGGAGAAAGAATCGCTGGGGAAGAAGTTCCGAGAAGTGCGAGTATGTGCGTCGTGATATAAATGCGTACAGACGCGTATGTGTATCGCGTTATCTCATTTGGTCTCGTCTTGTCATTCGGATCTCCTTACCAAAGATGCACTCGTGGTTGTCATTGACTTCAACTATCATCGTGTTGCAGTTAGAAAGAAAAATTGGAGCTGGAACAGCAATATAAAGTGTTCTAGATCTGCAAACAGATTCTTTTAAAATCAAATTTTCTTAGGGATTCAAAATTTTTTAAATAAATAAAAATGTTTACTGTTTATATTAAATTATTGTCATATTATTTATATATTTTATTCGAAAATATTTACGGAGCAAAAGAATTTTCGTATAAATCAAGTTTTAAAAATACGCAACAATTAAGTTGCTTCTTCTCTCTTTACTTAATTTATTTTAATTTATTTAGTTTTTATTTACTTATTATATTTATTTATTATTAATAAAGAAAATTTATAATACCTAATTTACAGGAGTTCTTTTGCTTTTATCTCCAGTCGTAAATATATATCAATTACATAAAATTAACTAGATTTATGCAACTTGATTTGTAATGTGAGTTAGTCACTTTCGTTGACCTAATTATTGAGTTCAATCTATTTGTTAAACACAGTTAGTCGCTGTTTATCCTACTACCAGGCGTAGCTAATGATCCCATGGTTCATTGGAGCGATAATAAGTTCAATAAGTAAAAAGGCGAGAATGGTGAACTGAAAGCTTTATGCGAATACGCATGCTGCAATCCGCTGGATTAAATTACTTTGACATAATTTTTAAAAATTTGGTTGTACGATTTTTGCTTTTTATATATATATATAATAAGATCGCTGTATAATCAAATATCTTATATATTTTAGTGTATAAAATTAACATATTTTAGAATAATATGATACCGTGAAAGCAATTATTTATAAATTTATATAACTAGAACAATACAAGCGCGCGCCACGCGCGCGCACTTATTATAGTAATTTAATAATTATGAAATCTAAATATTTTAATAAATTTTTTTTATTTTAAATAACCGTCAAAATAACCTTCGCTTTCAAACTATCAAACTGTCAGAATAATCGCGATAACTAATCGGCGTCGCGGAAAAGCGTCAACAATACTTTCAATACATTCGAGTATCGATCTTTCATGCCTTTTTTAAGAGTGGAAAATTTTTTACTAGCATATACAGAGTGTTTCATAATGTTCGTTCAAACGCTCGTATACAGGTAGAGCGTGGTTCACTTTACCTGTAGATATCACACACAAGCGATTGGACGAACATTATGAAACACCCTGTATATCTTCAAAAAATTGTATTTTTTAAGTATCTATAGAATTCTCGAAGCGCATATGTCTATTTTAATTTTATCTGCAATAAAAGATTAAAATCTCAAAACTAGTTTAATTAAAAAATTCTAATTTTCTAGCAATATGATTAAGAGAAACACTTTAAACTCTTAAATAAATAAATAAACATTTGAAAATAAAAAAATTAAAGGGATTTGAAAAAGGAGGATAAAACCAATGCGAAATTAATTTAAACATATCGAAATATATACATATATCACTTCGTATATTATTTCTTCATTAAACAAGACTTTTACAATTCGTAAAAAAATGTGGGTAAATATTTTGCGTAGGCACTCCGGTGTACAAATAGCACATATAATACACATACAACGGGTACAATAAATCGAGCTATCTAAAAACGACTATACCAACATCTCTCGCATCTAAACTCTAATACGTAAAAGTGGGAATGCTATATACAACGTGCGGTCAAACACGACTACGTCTTAACGCTAGATCGGGATCCCCCTATTTTTGTCCATGGGCGATCTATCGGATCGAAATGACTAGGACGCACGCATCTGAATCGCTCATCTTTCAATTAGATATAATTATATGATATGAGCACACACAGATTCCTCGGCAAACACGCCAATCGATCTTCGTTGGTCAATTGATCGTTGCGCGACACATTATTACACTTACGAAATCTTTATTATAACCGCCGCCATTCGCATAATCCGCGCATAATCCTACCGTACGCCGAATCCCCGAAGAAGGGACGTTTGATTATTTCGATTGTGGGACAACGTTCGTCGCGCGACGGTAAATCGCAAAATCGAGAATCTTCTTACGACGGCAGATTGCGTTCGCAATGGCGGAACGGATTCGACTAGTTCGACACTCTGATCGGATACCAATCTCTCTGGTATCGAAAATGGATAAAAGAAGAGGCTCATTTATCGTCGCTATAATTACTTTGCTTCTGAAGAAGAACGGGCAACCTACGCGCTACGGCTCTAAACGGTGCGTTCGATTGGATAACGTTTGTTAACGTTACACACACACAATGCTCTAATCGTATATGTATATATGTAATACAGCAGGATTCATCACATAACATAGATGCACTAGTGATCAGCTACTGAATCTAAACTTACTTCTATATGTCATGTAAAATAATATCATTAATAATATTTATTCTACTTTTTTAACACGATCGCATTGTCTGGAGCCGGCTTCCGCGGCGACCGGTTGCACAATTCCGAATCACAGATAACGCCTTCGCTTTTCAGAGCGTCCCGACGCATTCCAACACTTGCGTCCTAACGCATAGTTGCACCGTCGAGAATTCTATCGACGCATTACAACAAACTGTATCGAACGTTGCATTGCTCTTTCTAATTAATTACTCTTATCTTACGATCGCAAATTCCACTCGATTATATTGAACAAAGCATTCTCACACACTCGTTGGGCTTCACCATATTTCGGAAGTTGTTGCGTGTATTTACATTCTGTAAAATTGATAGCTGCCTCGAAGAGCCTCGAATCGTCGAGCATTTAATTCTAAAATAATAACACGAAGGCACTGCAATTCAGTCCGAGTCGACGATTAATTTTGATCATTTAACGCCGCGCGGTAGCGACGCTATGTCTTTAAATAGGTAAGGTCACGAGTTTGGCGTTTAACAGACACTCTCGCCGGGGCGCACGGTCTTACACACTTCGGAGATTTCTTTCTACGCATTCATTCGTACACGCCAATCCTGTCGGAGTTATGTCACCGTGTCGAATTGTGCACGGCACGATATATTTATAAGGCACGATTTTATATCGACAGACCGCTTAGTCAAACACGGCGACTTATAGATTTAACGTTACTACTAATCACTAGATATGGTCCCTAATTCGGAAGATGCTTGGAATAATATCTGTCACACGCAAGAGTCTGTCAATTCTTTGCTAATTCGCATTCGTTCAGTATTGATAATCATCTTCGATTATGGTAAGGAAAGACTGACTTATGCAGGATAATCCTTGATAACGCCTGCGAAAACGCTATCAAAAACGTACAGAATGTCGAGCAGTTATCAAATCATAATTAGCATACGTTAATAAAAACATGACATAATTTTCGATTTAAATCAAATATTTTATGAGAAAAGATTTATTCTAAAATTGATTTATTTTCAAATTTTATCAATTTAGAATCGAAATTGCTAACAAAATCTGTAATTAAACGAAACGTTGATCATTGATCTTATCTGTAGTTATATTGTAATATGATTTTTAGTTGCATATGCAGTGTCCATTGATAATCATGATTCATTTTCAGCTAAATTTGGTTTGACATCATTAGGCATATTTACTAACATATGTTAGCACTAACTCTTTTTAAACATTCTGTACAATCACTTCAACAATTCACAAATCTCTTCTTGGTCAATTTATCTTCATGAAAATCTTTCATATTATAAAAAATTAATGTTTTGCATTGATAATTTTTCAACAAATAATTCAAAAGATACCTGCTTCTCAATTTTTCACAGAAAAGATGTCTTAAGTTCTAGAATATTTTGAAATCTCCCCGCAAACTTCTAGTTGTGAGTCTTAAAAAGAGAATCAAAATGTCTTTTTGATTTTTCAAATTTCTAATAAACGTAAGTACAAAGCCAAATCTAAATTTTTTTCAACTAATTCGATTTCAGCAGTGGTAGGCTGATTTTTAAGCAATGGCCAGGTTCAAAGTCATTGTGGTAGGTCTCGAGAAGGCGGAAGATCTCGTCGGATCGGGATAGTCGAACGCAGTCGAGGAACTCTTGGCGTCGTTCTCGAAACGGAGATGCAGGTGCTCGGGATTGGGAGATATTACCGACGTCCTGATGACCATTCTGGATACATACTCCGAATCTTTAGCCGAATCAGAACTCTGTCTCTCCGGATCCTCCAGACAGGGCGTCCTCTCCCTGCAGGTTCGCTTCGAGGGCGTCGCCGTGGACTCATCCGTCGTTCTGGTGTGCCTTATGATCGCGGAGAACGCCGACGACGTGCTTTTCTGATCCCGCTCGACGCCCAGTCGTGGAACTATAACGCTAGTGGGCGACGCGGTGACGCACGGCGTCTGCGATCTGTTCATAGACGGTGGCAATGGAGGATTCGGTTTCACCGATAATGTCTGCTGCTCGACCTGATCGGGCTTCTCTACGGACGATCGGTGATGCGCACGCATGCAGGACGATTCCTCGTGCTTGTAGAGGTATGATTTGAGGGCGAAGGCCTTGCCGCAACGACCGCACACGTGTGGCTTGGTGTTCGAGTGCGTCTGTATGTGAGCGCGTAGATTCGATTTGTCGGCAAAAGCTTTATTGCAAATAGTGCACTTGAACGGTTTTTCACCTAAAAAAGTAAAGTAACAATTGTTAGAAATGTCAAAATGTTTTTATTTGTTTTTTGTAAATATTATCCTTTCTTGTAATTATAATATTACATAGCTAAAAATAAAAGAACTTTATAGATTCCGTACTTTTAAACGATAAGAGGTTAATTAAAGAAATTATTTTATAAATAAAAATATTAATGTATAATATCGCGAATCAAAAAATAGATTTAAATTTTTTTTGGCAAAGTTGTATGAAATATATTTGCGTGAAATAATGATGTGTATAACGAGCGTATAGTTTACGAATAAAACAAAAGTAGAAAAAAGATTTGACACTCTGACTTTTCCGGCTAAAAATCTCAATTAATCATTCCGAATGTACCACTCAGGCGTGTTGAAGGACATAGATATATTACATCGCGTCAACTTGATTTCACAGCTGCATATCTGCAATTTGCAGTCGAAAATAGTGCTGTGTTTCAAAGCGTGCCAAGACCTCATCGCGAGTGATTAATTTTAATTCATCCTCATTGAAAAACTGTTAAATCCATCGTATTCTCTTCAAAAATAGTTTATCTTAGTTGTTTACGTAGTGCACATTATTGAAAGAAACGCAATTAAAGAATTAGAGTGATAATTTTGATAGAATTTGTCAAATTAAATTGGAAGGACACGACGAATAATTTTGTTACTTTTTAGTTGCTTAATTATGTATAATTAATTTATACCGTTTCGCTTTTGATAGAATTATCACGGGAAAAGAGCTGATGAAGCGTTACCTGTGTGCGTGCGTATGTGTCCCTGCAGCAGCCACGGCCTGGAGAAGCACTTGCCGCAATAATGGCACTTGCATCCCTGATTGTGGGTCCTCACGTGCATGCTGAATGCCGGCATGCTGACGTAGACCTTGTCGCAGTGCGGGCATCTCCTGGCCTTCTTATCGCCCAGCGACCTGTGCGTTTGGCGGTGTCTAGCCAGATTCGACGAGGTCGAGTACTTCTTACCGCAATCGGGACACTCGTGGTCCTCGCTGTCTTCCGGCTTGGGCTCCGCGACAGGCATCCTGCGACCTTGGGACGCGCTCGAAGATATCGACGTCGGCGGTGGATCGAGTCCAATATCGGAGACGACCGGCACTTTTGAGAAACTCGGCTCGTCCTGCGACGAGCAAGAAGGATGTCGCGGCGAAAGACGAATTCCTAGAGCGGTGTTTTCTCCGGAGCGGCTCTCCAGGATTTCCCTCTCGGTTTCGATTCGCTCAAAAAAGAGCCTCGTTCGTTCGCCCAGAACTTGGTCCTGATTTTCCACCTGCGCGGCAGGCCGGGACACCAGCGTTCTGCTCGTTTCCGCAGGATATTGCGCGATTCTAGGCGACACCGGCCTCTGGTAGATGACATTACTGTGATGAATTAAGGTGCCGGCCGCCGCCGCCAAGCTCACTTCCGCCAGCTTCGTTAGGTTGTACAGCTCCTCCGGGCACTCGGACGACGTCTCGCTGCCGCACTCGCTGGCGCCATCGGAAGTTGGCTGACCGCCGCTGTAATCGGCCAGTCTTACGCTCCTTTCAGGACTGAAATCTAAGCAACAACCGAGAGCTTCATTAAAGGTAATCGTCGAGTTAATATTGTAGTAACCCTTTTTAATTAATAACTTTTTATAATTGGTAATTGTTTAGAATATTTATTCTGCAATGCTTTTATTTTTTTTTAATTTATCTTAAAATTGTGAACTTTATAACTCTTTTTTTAATTTAGCATTTTTGGCAGTTAATTAATCTTTTAATTAATAACCTTATTGTTATTTAAAAACTCGGATACATTGACAGATTTGTGAATTATATTTGATTATATTTTACTATCCATTTTTTGTGAAAGTATGCAATTTATTATTTTGCATTTTATTACGTTCTTCGACGAATATCGTACAGAATATGATTCAAAGTGGCAGGGAAATCCGGCGTCGATGCGGCTCGCGAAACACGAGGTACCTTCGGAGGAAGAGGGCTCGCTGGCTGCTCCGTTTTCGAGGAGAACGGAAATAGAGTAGCTCCGCGACCAACCCCCGCACGTCCGTCGTTCCCTAGCATCGCGTTTATTCTGCGTATTTCATAGTATCGTGTACGTGCACACGCGTTGCGTTCGTAAGAAAGTCTGCTTGCCAGCTTCACGGTGGGGTTGACGGCATCGCGACGGTATGCGTCTTCGTCGGCCCTGGTGACGCATCTAGCGTCTCCTATTCTTAAATCCGCGCGATCCACCACCTTGATCGCGAAGCAACGACCAGCGGATGTTCCTGGTTTAAATTCAGTCGAAGAGAAAAGGATTTGATTGATGTGAACGTGCGAAAAAAATTACAATTCCGACGTGGCAAATCATTTTTCTACGATAAATTCCACATCTATTGATTTTTTCTGATTAAATAGATAATTCTAGCACTGTGATGTAATTTATTTCGCAAATGTGGAAAATATATATTTGTAAAGTTGTTAATATTACGATCGATCTTTAGGAAAATTACATTACGTAGTAATTATGTTATATTGTTTTTATTACAAAATTTATTATTAATTTATTGTGTAATTTTTCTTATTGTACAATCTAAATAATTTGACGACCGTAATTATTAATTGTATTATTTGATGTCGTACTGAGAAAGAAATGATCTGTGTGATTGCAGGCCAAAACATATAAAACATTTCGTTGAATACGTTGTTTTTATTAGCATTGACATTTTGCTTTTGGCTCGTCGCCTCGTTATTTTTTTGTTTAGATTAATTTAATCAAGTCTTTTTAGTTTTTGTATCTATTAAATTATTGTATTATGATAAATTTTTTTCATATTATAAACGCTAGAATTTCTCTTTTATTTTCCGGAAAAATTATTCAAAATATTCAAAATTGATAAGTGGCAATACAAGTAATAAAAACAAATAATATGTTATTAAATACGTATGTTTTTTATTTAAAAAAAAACAATTTTGCATTATTTAATACTATGTACTATCAAATCAATTAAAACACCTTTTGATAAAATATTTATATCAACAATATTTAATTATCGTAAAATTTTTGAGAAGTATAAATTTTTTATATTGTATTTTAAGATTCAATATTAATTTTCAAATAATGTTAAATAGAATTTGTAGAACATATTTATAAAATCGAACAGAAGATCATAAGATTTAAAATATACAAAAACTTTTCCTTGTTACTCAATAAGTTTACAAAACTATTAATGATAAGTCAAATTAGTCAACGTTTACTAATTGAAAAAAATAAAATAAATAAACAAACTATAATAAAATAAAAATGTCTGATTGTTAATTAAAGCACTTTAAAAATTCACGATGTCTTTTAATTCTTAAACGCTGACTAGTCTGACTTATTAATTAAATACGTTCGACACTTTTGATTGAAGCTAATTAACGACATACCTCTTTCCGACCCTCCGATCTCTTCTTCAGCGCCGTTGTACCTGCGATGTGTGATCAGGAACGCTCGTGGCATCTTCCTTGTCTTCTCGATTCTTCCCCTCAGAGCACACAAGTCATACTTATCAATTCAGGACTCACAAACTAACACACTTATCGCACCGCCCGCTATTTACATACAATAAGGGTGACAATGAGAAAAAAAAATGGTAGAAGTCCGGTAACAATATCAAGAGTTACGAATCCGATTTCGAGAAACGCGTAACGTCGGATAGCGCAAGGGTTGCGTTCACTTCGGCAATTTCGGGCGCAATAGTTGCCCCGGCTAAGATTCGGGGCTACATATAGCAGCGCAGCCTCCCTCGCCCCCCGCCGCCGCGGCGCTCTTCGTCGTCGTCGTCGTCGTCGTCGTCTTCTTCGTCTTCAGCTGCACGCGTTCAGAAGCGTGCCCGCCCGATTGCGCCGCGCGTGTGGTGGTCCCCGTTCGTGTGTCGGCAATGTGACGCGTGACGAGTGCGAGCGGGAGGGCGGATGAAAGGCCGCGCAGGAGGAACACGGCCGATCCCCGCGGCGCAGGGTGGTTGCTAGCCACCCTCGTCTCTTCTCGACAAGTTGTCTGGCGATTATCGCTTGTTATCGGATCTCGCCAACAAAAGGAATCATTCGATCGGATACCAAATAAAAGAGTTTCTCAAATACGAAATATCTTCAAACATTGATAATCATTGATAATTAGTAGATAATAACTCTTTCTTCAATTCGTCTTTTTTACTTTTAGATATAAGACATTAAATTTTTCAACTGTGCGCAGACTTATCTACTTTTTTGTAAAAATGCACAACAAAGCGAGAAGATGAAAAAAGAGATGAATTTTTTCACTCGATTTCAACAGAATCGGGGCGCTGCTTGTCAATCTATTTGGACATTATTTAAAAGGAAGGACGATAGCGAGCAGATATGATAACGGCGTCATTTCGAAAGCGGCTACAGAGTAAGAGCAGGTTGGTGCGCTGGGTGGTTCTTCTGGCGCGACGCCAGGCATCCGCCGAATTTAGCACCGCGGCGCTGACTAACTCGCGTGGCATTCATTCAATCGTCGACCAAAACGCTGCCTGCATAGTCTCTTGCTCTTTGCGCGAAACGTGCGCGTATGTCCTGCGGCGATTAGAAAAGAAAAGAAGCAGGATAGTATCAGAACTTTCCATTTTTCCAAAAGTTAATTAGTATCCAATGAAATCGAGCCTGAATATGAAACATCAAATAAATTAAAAAACACACTGAATTTTTTAGACGTCGTATATCTTTTCTCGACGATTTAAATGCTAATATTTTTTTAAACTCATGATTTATTAAATACCATCATTAAATATTTTGCTTGATAAATAAACTCTGAATAAAATTTTGATAAGGTTTATCTTAAAATAAGCAGAGAATATTTTTAAGCTTGATTTATTTAAACTAACAACAAAATATAAAATTTCTAATTCTATTTAGTCTTTTTAATAAAAAGATTCAATTTTGTCTTTAGCTCCAACTTGTTAGAGTTATTGGAAACGAGACTGGAAATGTGTGCATTTATAATTTTATTAATTTATTTGTACATCTTAAATAGCGATATATATCCGCCTTTCAGAACTTTAGCGATGTCTGCGATTTAGTTAAAATTTATGATTCATAGTCAACTATTTACCACCGTTCGGGTATTTTTACACCAACTTGCGTCATTTCCGCGCTATATAAAAAAATTCTTGAAATTTTTCAAGGTGAAAAAAAAGAACTTGAAGTACAAAGCATCGTCTGCGTCAAAGTAAACAATCTGCGAATTTTCGGATAGGATCGCACGAAACCTCTAGATGGGAGTCGCGGAACAGGTGTCTCGGCGGAGATATCGTAAATCGTCGACGGTATCGTCGTCGAATAGCCAAAAATAAAGTCACGAGTTCCGTCGAAGCGAGCGAGCGAGCGAGCGAGCAAGAGCATCTTCGCCACTGACGCAACTCGCAACTCGACAACAGATTGCCACCATCGCGCGACCCGCTACAGATCATCCATTAACGTAACCGGCACCGATAAAGCCGGCATCTCCGCGTGGTTTTCTACACGCTTTATCCGGCGGCGCATTCTACAGGTGCCCAAAGGTGTTCCGTGTGCGCAAGTCGCGTATTTTCGGCACTCTTGGAGCGCCTCCAGGTGCGGAGGAAGAAGAGAAACGCGACATCGACAACGAGCGAGGAGGAGGTCTTGACGGATAAATCGCACGTGCGGCTCTCATGAAAGAGCGCGGAAGAATACACGCGGCGATATACGATTGCGAAGAAACGGAATTTGCATAAGAACAGACGAGGAGAATGTGAACACTTATAGAATTAAAAAAAATTATATAAAAGACATAATTATGTAGAAGAAGAAAAAATCAGTTTTTATTTAAATTAAATTTAATCAGCTTTAATGAAACTTGAATAATTTTAACGGTAATCCTAATCACGATTGAATAGGCAATAAATTGTAATTGATGATATATGCAGGCTTGCTATATTGAGGCAAATTTGTACGAAGGGGATTTCTTATTTTGGGTAATTTCTTGCCTGGAAAAGATGGATAAGTATAGGGGCGGGTTTTTTTTGTCGACAGCGGCGACGTCGAATCATTAAGAGTGATTCCTCGGGACGGTGGGATGGAATCGTTTAGAACGAAAAAGTGTGACTATATCGTGTGTCGTCCCGTAAAATATCCGGATACGCTCGGTTCCTCCTATAAATCAGCAGCTCCCCCTTTTCCGTCGATGCCGACGGCGGCAAGTACTTTCCGCGTACCGGGAAAAAGGGAAAAGCACGCGATCGCTATTTAAAAGATTTGTAGGTGGGCGACTTTTTAGCAGTCGGGACATGTACGAAGAAGGAGAACACACGAAGAGAAAGAGAGAGGGGGGGAGAGAGAGAGGGAGAAGGAAAATTTTGACTTCGCTGCTCCTCCAACTGCCTCGGCATGGGGTTGCCGTGCTATTTTCAGGCTCTGGTGGCTCGATGCAGCTGTCGTGTTCTTCGGGTAAACCACCTCTCTTCTATTCCACGGCCATCCACGAGACGCGACAAGGTAAGCCGAAAAGATCCAGAATCTCGCAATGCGAGAGATGTGTCTCCTCTCTTTAGCGAGTTTTTCTTCAAGTCAGACGATTGCCAATCTTATCTCTCGCATATGATTTATTGAGACTAATAATTTAATTTTGATAAAATTTTGCCAGATTTTTTTTTAGACGTTACACAGACATAATTGAGGTGAATTGTAATAAAAGAAAATTGTGATTATTTCAGTTCTCTGTTGCTAAATCATGAAGAAGTAAAATAAGTAGTCTTTAAAATAATACAATCTCTATGAAATATCAAAATCTTAGTTTGTAACGAGCTGTTTCAATGTCTTTTTTTGAAATTATTACAATTCTTTAAATTAAAAATGTTTCTAATAATCTCAATTATATATGTTAGTACAAATTTAAAAAATTTTATTTGACAGTATTTGAGATCCGCATTATTTATATTAAAATGATTAACAATTTATGCTCAATGCTAGCACCATGTGGCTAGTAAAAAGTTCTACGGCTAGCAATCGCAAATATTTATGGTAACACAAACATCGCAAGATAATAATCAAAATTCTACGCTTTCTAAGAATTTTCAGAGCTAAATATTTTCGTCTAGGACTTGTAATCGGAAGAACCTATAAAACTGTTGGATTCCGAGAATAACACGATGTCGAGGACGCGCTTCCGCGAAACAACGTGTCGGCAGAAAAGCGGAATAAAAGTTCGCGGGTCGTGTTCCGCGGAAGAGCGTCCACTGGAGAATGAAGGATGAAGACGAAGCCGAAGATAAGCCACGAAGATTTGGCCGGGCGCCAGACGACAGATTTTCAGCCGTCTACGTGTACTTTCAACTTTCCCGTCTGCGCTTTCCTTCGGCTTTCCTATGCGTCCTCTAGGATCTAGGGTGCAATGACACCGGCCCAGCTTAATGACTATTCTCTATTCACGGTTCGTGAATCATTATGCGGAAATACGCGTTGCGTGCCTCGATTATTCCACCACATTGTTGCTGTTCTTAGGAACACGAACAAGAAGAAAGAACAATAAGCGATAAAAAGGAAATAGATGAATAAATAATTTTATTTTATCTTGGATCGAGTCGTTTAACGCACAGAAAAGGTTACGTCTACAAATATGTAGCATAAAAGTCTAAAGGTCTAAATGAGAAATATAATAGCCAAATATATAAATTTGATATAATCAGATAATATGAGTGTAAAATACAAATTGTAAAATAAATTGCAAAATAGAGAATAAAAAGATATTGGAAGTGAAAAAATAGGGAAAAGAATTAAAATATAGGATTGATTATTTTTGTGATATCACAGTTTTAACTTTATTTATCGTGTTCGCTTGATTCTACATTTAAGAAAGTGACAAAAAAAAAAACAAATAAGAATTAGATTTAACTGTTAAGTGAAGCTTACAATTTTATGCGAATTGGGAAAAGTTCTAATAGACAAATATCTTTTGGAAATCTGAGATATTCAGACACGACGAAAAAATATAACGAGTTGATATTTTCAATAGATCAAGCGGGTCGAAGGGATCAAGGGAAAAAAAAGGAATTTGAGGAGTGCCGATGGCAAAAAACGTCGACCGGAACGACTCTTAATTTAGTTCTGGGTGTAAGAGGTTAACACTGGGTGGAGACGTCCGTGGAAGCGCCTCCTCTTAGGGGAGAGCACTGTAAGACACGTTGGCTCGTGTTTGGAGGAATGTCCCCGAGAATAAAAGGAGACGGTTCCTTCCGGAGACAGCGATCAGCCGCCTGTTTCATCTCCCCTCGATCATGTTGCTATTCTTACACAGCCATCGGTACGAATTCAGTTACTTGCTCTTTGCTTCAATGTTGTTAGAACATCCCCTACGATGAGAAGCTATTCCAATGGTCATTTGATATTGTTCGATCGTGAAATTACACGGCCGTTGACACGTAAATAAATAAGTTATATACGATTTTAATACATTTGCAAAAAAATTGGAAATAATGAGTTATTTATAGTAAGTTAGCTAATTCTTTTAATTGTTTACAATGCATATCTGTTTTTCAATTAAATTATTTTAACGCTGGATTAAAATAAGCAGATTTTTGCTTTTTTATTAATTGAGATTTAACAAAAAAAAAAAATAAAGATTACTATACTCTTTGCGTAAAGAAATTAATAATTTTTAGAACATAATAAATATGTTCTGCCATTATTCGAAACAATTAATATTAATATTGTTAGATAAGACAGTACAATACTCTTAAATGCTTTTATCTTTCGTTTTGCAGATCGATTACAATAT